ATAAATAATGAACACAATTTTATAACACAACCACACACATAAACGTGACATGAAAATCATCTTAACATTGTAATACAATTGTCTTTATTTGCATGTAATTTGGTTAGTTTGTGCAATACAAATTTCTGAGTACATCGTCAGAAGAAGTCTGGTAATAACTCATTCCAAAAAACAAACACATTTGGTTGTATCCAGTACATCGCAATACACGTGTAGAATGACATTTGAACCAGTTTTTTAAATAACAATTTTGAGATCTTCATTTGAAAATAATATACATGGATTCATTGAAAGAAACAAACATGAACACAAAGTATGCACTGTAATAACTACATAAGACAAGTTATTGCATTAGCCAACTATAGTGTGGCCATTTATTTACCAGTGGGGAAAATTCGTATGACCAAGATGCATTGAATAATCTTTCCAGTATGCTAACTTTGTAAAGCTATATTTGGTAGACTTTCAACGAATCTACCAAAACAATGTAATGAGTATTATAATAAGACATCCTCTTGATAAAATACCAATGACAATCTTTTCATTCAATATATTACAACGGACGATTTTGGAGGCTTAGAGGTCCAAGTTGATGAGGTCAAAAGAATTGTTCAGTTAGCTTTATAAATTGTAAACTCTAAAACTCAAAAACTTCTATTTCAGAATCTCATTTATCAACTACATCAGTCAAATCGTTAGAAGGGAAATTAAAATCATATAGAATTGTTTATGTTGAATCTGTAAGGAAGTCCTAATTTTTAGGTCATAGATTAAGGTTAAGAAAGCGATAGAATAGTGCCAAATACCGGTGGTAGGTTATTATTATTATTATTATTGGCAAAATATGTAGGTCACAGCTGGGGCTGCGCAGCCACGGGAAATACTGTATTTCTCACTAATCTTCGGACTCGAAGACAATCCTTATTATTATTATTACTTTCAGACGTGCATTGAAGGTTGTTACGTTCTACGCAGACCTCCTGGAGGACGAAAGGGGAGAAAAGCGAGAAGTGTTCAAACTCAGAACCACCGTGACGACAGTCTGAAGCGACTACCACGCGACTATGCAGCGATCCAGTTCAATAGTTGATAGTTTATACCATCCAAATGATATTGGATTGTATGTACTAGAGTGCTCGTTACTTAGTGCTAACCCTAACCACCGCACATTATTATTGCAGGCACAGATTTATTTTTTTTATGTAATTCTATTTCAACTGAGGAGGCCCGCAGAGATTTTAATTTTTCAGAAGTAATCTTCTCGTCACGAAGAAGATACACCAATGCAAAGACAACTGAGATTTCAAGACCAATTGCTGGGCTGTAAGAATAATGGACAGTTTCATGTGGTATTGGTTTACGTATTGAAATACATGAACAGAGCGAAAGTCGATAAAAATACGAATAAATCAGATTAATCTCCTTTGTCTATATTGACCTTTGATTTACTTTTGTTTTCAGAGCGAAAGTTTACGTGTTGCTGTCAGTTTATGTGTTTTAATGCTTAGTTTGCACTTACGAGTAAGGACTGTATACTCTAACACTAATCGTAAATTCCTTTAAAAAAAAAACAAACACAACAAACAGGAAAAAGTTGGCAAGTACCGGGTAGTGAAAGGTCAAGGAGATTGTCTGCTGCTGGTCCTTTAAAAAAAAAAAAAGGTATATTTCCAACAAGAATCTACGGTAACACAATATTTAATGAAACAAAAAAATAAACAAAAGTTCTTTTGATAACAATATTTGTCCGCGAAAATTTTTTTTTAAATTTAACATTTGTAATCTGCATTTATTTTCTTAAAGAATTTTTACTTTTCTTTGAAAAAAGCAAGTTATATATATATATATATGTATATATATATATATACAGTGAGTGCCAGTACTCGGTGATTGGTTGCTGGTACTCAGTAGTTGATTGCCTAACTTTTAACAACTAAAAATTAACAATATACGTTAAAAATAAAATAAAAGTAATAATTTTTTCAAAACGGTGCTGGTACACCATACCGGTGCGTACCGTCACAAAAAGCCCTGTAAATATATATATATTTATATATGTGTGTTTATGTTTCAACAATCAAAACATTTGGAAACTGAAATGTCTTTTGATTTGTTAGCTGATCAGTTTGATATATTTTGGTACGGTACACACAAAAATAGTTTTTTTTTAAACATGATTGTATCCAAAAATCAACAAAACGCAAATAGAAATGTCCACACACACACATACAGTCAGACAGGGCCAGTCTTAGGCCACTGCAACCTAAAATCTCATGAAAACTCATAAAAATCTCGTGAAAAATAGACAAAATTGTCATTTGTGGGTGTCATTCATTGCGGAAAACGCCCAATCCTACGAGCGTTAAAAGAAAAAGGCATTATCAGCTTTCATGTAATGGAATGTAATAATCGGGCGAATGCTCACCTTAATCGGAAGTTCTAATACTTTATTTACTTCTATAGTTACTGGCATATAAATATGCCATAGGTTGCAATGTTCGTAGAGTAAAGTTAATTTGATCGGAATTTAGTACTTAGTAAAGAATGAATATTATTCAAAGTCGATTTTTTTTTTCTAATATAAAATCTTAATTTCCACTTATTATCCTTATTCCCACCCAGACTAGGCCCCGCGCAATCAGTTTCGCGTAGGGCCCCGCAATTGTTAGAACCGGCCCTGCATACAGATCAAAAGATAATACAAATATTTATGCTTATTGTCAATTTTTTTTCTAAAAAAGAGATTATTATTCAGAGGCGTCGCTACCAGTGGTATTTTATTAGCCAATATGGTCACCCCATCGCTCACCTCAAAAATAAAATTTCCACCTAAGTTCGTCATTAGTCAATTCTTAGTATCGAAGCTTAATATAAAGAGGCAATTGCTTACAATCAACGATTATTTACACAGCTGTAAAGTATTCATCAGGACATTATCTTACGTTTGCATCGCTCACAGTGCGCACCCCCAGCGACGCCACTGTTAAAACTATGTCTTCCTAGTGTTGAAAAAAAAAATAAAAAGACCAGCAAAAGTAAGCCTGGAGATCTAAGTCGCTCCCTGACCCTAGCTCGAAATAAAAAATGGATGGCCTCAACATGACTGGATAGGGTAGACAACCAACTTGAACCAACTACTGCTTCTTAAAATTAAAATCATAGCTTGGGTGATTCTGTTAGTTTCTATTCCTCAAAACAATGTTCATTCTGTAACTACTTCACAATGGTTCTATTCCCATGGATGTAGTAACAGAGATGTCACTCAGCCAGCAAGGAGTGTACTTCCGGACCAAAGCAGAACACCTGCCTTTCTGAGACATGGGAGGTGGCCAATTGTGTACTAGTAACTTAAAATGTTATTTAAAATATATAGATTCATCAACAAGGTAGAATAGTGAGTAGTATTCAAAACTCAAGCCACTAATAAGATTACAAAAAAACAACAAAATAAATGAAAGCCTGACAAATGATTAGTATAGCATAGGGTTATAAATAATAAAGATATTTGCCAGTAACCCAATGCCACAAGATAGTAAAGTACCATTCTCAGAGAATCTAGTTGATCTGAAAAAATAGGATTAGTTTCCATACATACATATACTCTTTTGATATTAACAAAATAGACATTCTCTTTGGGAAAATACATGTAAGAATGAGTGGTGTAGAAATATCCTGTCCTTTAGGAGAACAACTCATTTCTCAAGAGGATGAATGAAGTAATTCTCTGTCATGGTGGAGTGACAAGGGGGGGGGGGGGGGGTTATAGTTTAGGGATATGTCACAAGATTAGAAAGGAGGGAGGGGGGGTAACATTGATGCAGAGTAATTGGAGAAGAAAATTGTTTAGTTAATTAGGGTGAATTTTTTTTTTCCTATTTACAGTAACTGTGGGCATAACTTTATTAAGCAATTTAATCTTTGTCTCAGAAAGAGGCATCAAGAGCACAGTAAAACTAGAATGCCAACTAAAAACTATTACAACAAAAAAATATAAAATAATAAGTCAGAAAGGTTGAATTGAAAACAGCAACTTTTGAAAACCTTTTAGAACTCTTTTTATTGTGTTCTGCCACATGCATTCAGCCCCTCAGAAATAATCTCAAAAGGCTTGTTCTTTATCTCTAGAACAAAGAGAAGTTGTGAACACTTACCATTAAGCAAGGGCCTTAGAAAGTTTTCTATTCACAAAAGCACTATACAAGTACTGAGAAATGATCTAGTCTCAATAAACATTCTAACAAAACAAGCAGACGTCTGCTGTTTAAGAGACAGTACACAATTCTTTTCTTTGCTGACATCAAAACAATAAACTGAGCCATAGTAAAAAGAATTAAAACATTGTAGATTTTATTGTAAACAAAAAAAAAAGTTGAACAAACTAAATGCCTATATGTAAAAGAATGTTATTGAATGTCTTCATTTTTTTTTTTACATTTTAATAATAAAAAAAATTCTGATATAAAAATAGTTTTATGAAAATATTAAAATTTTGTTTCCAGCCAACACTTTACATAGGAACATTACTGAACAAGTAGGACACTGACTCCCCATTATGTGTACGTCTGATGGCCTCGGCTAATATTATTGAGATATCTTGGCACTGAAATAAAAAGGATGATTGCAAGAAAACAAAACACATACATGAATGAATTTTTAAAAAAAATAATTAGCATTAGCCAATCAAGTTAAATAGCTGATAATAAATAATCAAATTTTTTTTTTTAATTTAAAAAAACTGAATTAAAATGGCTTTTTTTTTTCAAGAGAAATGTTCTCCTAAATAAAATTATGCCTAAGATTTTAAATATAAAAGCGGAAATTTTAGAATAAATTATATGTGCATTATAACTTTTAATTTTACATAATTTGGGCATACATTGTAATTCTTGGTTGCTCACTCTGAAAAACTAAGCTAAAAGAAATGTCTCCTAACTCAGCATTTATGTACAGATGGTTAACTTCATTTGTCCACTTAGAAACAGCATAAAGTAAATTTTACTTGACTTTAAAAAAATCTTTAATGTTTGACTATGACAATTTCAAGTTATGAAAAGGATGTTACGTCTAATTGTATGTAAACCTTTGCATCCAGCACACTAGAGGCTAAAGTAAAAATGAAGTTGACATTTTCAACTTTTACTTGAGGTCTAAGAAATAAAAAATGCACTAAGAAGAAAACAAGACTTTGGGTTTTGTGTAATACTGTTTATTTGATCATTCTTAAATCCGTGATACATGGAATTTGTTAAACTCTTGAGACAAAGAGTTCATTCTCTAACCTCACACTCCTTTCTTTGAAAAAGAGCTTTATTGAAAGTCATACTTAAAGAAAATACAAACACTAGTGTTGAATACAAATCATGTGTATGTTGTCTATCTAAACTTCTATCTAACTCAGGGGTTCTCAACCTGTGGGTCGTGACTTCTTGGGGTTCGATTGACAATTTGCCAGGGGTCGCCAAAGACCATTGAAAAAATGGATTGTTATTGTCTATTCTTCAATTGCTCTGTGTGTGCGGGGGGGGGGGGGGGGGGGGGGGGGGTCGTAGCTAAGTGGGCAATTGTAAAAAGGGGTAGCCGAGCATAAAAGGTTGAGAACCGCTGATCTAACTGCATCAAGACAAAAGGGCTCTACAAAGTAAGTGTATAATAAAATAAAGCCTAGTGCAGTATTTTTTTTTCAGAAATAAATTTTTTAACTTGGGTACCGGTATTACATAATCCACAATCTGGCCAACTGCTACAAGTACAGTACAAGTAGAAACAAAGAAATTAACATCACAAGATGTGTTATTTTTTTGCCAATGCTTTCTGAAAGTTCATTTAAAAGGTTAAAAAAAAAAAAAAAAAGAAGCTCTGGATTTCTAAGCATTCAAATCAATATTTTATTAGCTAAAGTTCCTTTTACTAAGTCTTAGCTTGATTGCTGTGAAAAGGTATACAAGTTTCTGGTACTCAGTGAATATACAAAGCACTACTATTTGGGGTAAAAAAGGTATACAAGTTCTGGTACTCAGTGAAAATTTAAAACACTACTTTTGGGGGCAATAGCACAGTGTACATTTTCTTTTATAAACAATCACATAGTTTTATCCTCCAACGACAAGGAGTTGGAGGGAAAGGAATAACAAAATGTTTCTAGCATAAGAGCTCAAATTGTTTCAAAGCACAAGATGTTTGATGCTTGAACTAGATGGGATCATTATCACTTTCATCGTAGGGGTGCTGTGACAGTTCCTGTAACCAAAGACCTTTTACCAATCAGCGGCTGTTCTTAGCAGAATAGGTGGGGGTATGAAGACTATAATTCCTACTATCCCTAGTAATTCAGATAACTCTTCAACATGATGTGATAGTTTCTAGTAGCAGTGATGTCAATCAAAACACATGAATGTGGTTTGTTTCTTCTTCCAACTTCATATGTTTATGAAGCAAAGGAAATTAGCAGTTGTTGTTTTACACACCATGTCAGCAGCAATGTTTTGGAACTTAAAAGACAACAGTATCAAAACAAAACATCATTGGATCTAAACAAATAATTGCTACCTACAAACATGAACAGCAATATACTTTACTCAAAAAAAAATGTATATGGATATGCATGTAGATTTCACAAAGGAAATGTAGTTTTTATGAGTAACAGTTCTTGTAGACAATGACTGTATTAAATGCAAAACAATAGTATTTTAAGAAGATTAAAACAAATATATATATAATCAAAGAAATATAAGATTTAACCAAAACCAATCCCCCCCACCCCAAATAAAACCTTTTCAGTATTACTTCGAACAAAACATACAAGGCTGCAGTAATCATTGGTACATGATGTAAGTGAACAAAAAAGTTTTTGAGCTAAAATAAAAAACAAAAACATAGCTATAGTAATACAAATGGTGTCTGGAACACATTATTTGGTTTAAGAACACACAATGGTACATTACATTTGATGATGGGTTGTAGACATTATAAAGACAGACAAAAGACAGTAAAAATGATGAAAATGACATATTCAACAACCCTGACATTCCTTCTTGTATGTTTGAAAACATTGACGAAACAAAAAACATGTTTCTTAATATCATGGTGGCCCTTTTTTTATTTGACAGCTTTTTAAAGCAATGCCCAAATTATAAAGTTTCCACCAAATACTAGGAGGAAACACTGTCGTCAAGAAAAATTTTTTTTTCGGAAAATGAGAAAATATTTATTATTCATATTTGACCTGTTTATAAGTAGTACAACCAAAAGTCAACTTAAAAAAAAGATAAATGATTAAAAAAAATTGTATCTACTTATCTATTGCTGATAATACATTTTCCTTGATCCTTTTTTTGAAGCTAAGTGTTTGACCAAAAGAATGTTACGAATAATTTAATCACTATTTATTTTTCTGATTTCCAACATTGCTGAAATTAAAATGCCTTTGGCATATTTTTTAAGCAGATATTTTGTAACCTAACTCACAAATACGTCCATGGAAATCAGTCAGCCAATAGAACAAAGTCAAAAGCTAAGGATATGGAGAACCCTGGTACATCTTTAGTCCTGGGCATGAATTATATGCAACCTAAAATATTTTCAAGCCTAACAAGGTGGGACTATTCAAAGTTTACCAATAACAAACACTGAACAAAAAGAAACTACTAAAAGCAATCAAAAGCTTGGAAACTTCCTTTACTTTCATCAGCATAAATAAACAAGTAATATGAATATCTTTCCATTCACTAGGCTAGCCCAAGAGTGGAATCCAGAAATGTCTGACTGATGGCATAAGAACTACAAACTCTTTTTAACTGCAACATGAAAAATACCAACCAAGAAATTTATGATGACCATAAATAATAACAAAGACCTAAAATTTGGAGCCTGTGTTTTATAAAGGTCAAGGAAACTTTTTCTCATCTGACGGGCTCAAGACCATGCCGACTTTATGAAAGTGTGCATTTAGGGGACCAATATCTGGCTATGGGATTTCTTTTCTTTTTTTTACTGCTAAAACCACTAAACTAGTTTTATGTTCATAAATTACCTTTATAAACTATCTATCAGTGTGTTCAACTCAACAAACAATGTTATTACCTCTCTACGGAACACAACCAGAGGATAAAAATTAAAACTTAACAAAACATTCCCTCATAAATTGTCACCAGAAAAAGTTGACCATAAGTTATTTACTTTATCAAAGGCCTGAAAAAAAAAGATGCTGACTCCAGAACATCCCTTTTGCAGAAACTATATAGAGAAAAGCGTGATCTGGAAACCCACTGTGCAGTTCATAAGGCTGTTTGTGTGAACCCTAAATGTTCATAACGAGAATGAAGAGGAAGAGGTGTGTGTGTCCCATCAAAATCGGTTAATAAGAATCCAATGCATGCCGGCAGACTATTCACGTACCATAAAGTAGCCACCTAGGTGAACTGCAATCCTTCTCAAGTCATTTAGTAAGAGAAACAAGGGATATGGCAAACTATTCACATACCGATACCCTAAAGTAGCCACCTAGGTGACCAGCCATCCTTCTCAAGTCATTGAGTAAGAGGAACAAGGAGATTTTCATACATGAGCTTAGTTAATTGTAAATTATAAGACAAGTTATATGGTACACATTTATTGCTTCTCTTACTGGCCAACATGCATTTGCCTTTCATATTTCTTTTTCTTTATCTAAAAAACTAAAGGAGATCCTTGTTGCAGTTTTATTGGCTTTAAATTAAATATAACCCTCAGAAGCAGTATTCAAACTCAGTTTAAATATCATAACTCTTGCTTCAGTACCCTGTCTCTGAAGCATCAGAGGGCAGCTACCTTCCACCACTGACATTTAGACATTGTTTATACATAATGCTACAATAATGTACAATGACATTATTGTAAAGTATTGTTTGTCAAATTATGAAGAGGGGAATAAGATTTTAATTACATAAAAAAATATTGACTTCATTGACTTGAGCTTCTAGCCTGGTTGGAGTAGTTTCCAAAGCTCTTACAGCTTTTAACCAAAGAGAAAATCAGTCACCAGTCCAACAGATATTTACAGAAATTATTCAATACAATCTATTGGTACTGATAGTCTTGTGTGACACGTTTTAATTAAAATGATCAAAAAAACCTATATGTGTAAAATTTAAAAAAAAGAAAGAAAAAAAAAGAAATATGTACAACTTTCAGAAATGTGATGACATAAATTTCTTATGAAATGCAACAGCACAATTCTTATGTTTTCAGTTCTACTTGTCTGGTCAATTGGTTGAGAAACTCCAGAGTAACTCTTATTAGCCTTTAGATGGGCACATTGCCAAAGAGATAAGACACTGATTCACCATTATGTGTTCTTCTGACAGCCTCAGCTAAAATTATGGAAATGTCCATCAGCTGAAAAGAAATTAAGAAAGACATCGCTATTAAAAATAATATCTAAAACAATAACTACTGCTATTAATTTCAGTATTAAATTTTTTTTTTTTTTCAATTTGAATTGGTCAATACTTTCCATTCATTTTAATTCTCTTTTATTTCATTTTTGACAGCAATAAATCTTGTTAGCTCTGACTTTAAACAACTTTAATGTCAGCTAACAATATCTTTCAAATTAGCTCCAAACAAGTTTGGACAATGTTTAAAAAGAAAAATGTAATTAGATTTGATGTACAAGTAAATGTGTGTTTGTTTGTTTTTATTTCTGTATACGGAAGTTAACCAAAACATCTAAATGACTATTCAAGTGTTAGTTGATGTTAAGGTCTCCTGGTTAGGTACAATCTGTTTATTAGCCAATATTCAATCCAAAGTAACAGCAACATCAAAACTACTTCTAGAATATTTGCAATAAACAAACCTTTTAAGTTAAAACACAAGTTTAAAGAATATACATATATATAGCAACATAGTCACCAAAATCATTAGGGGGTGGGGGGGTGGGGGAGGGAGAGAAAGAATAAGGTGAGAAAGAGAGAATAGAGAAAGAGATATAGCAAGAAGGTGTTAGTTACTGTTATGAAAGGTTATCCTCACTTTTGAGCATGTTGAACCATGACTTTCAACTTTTCTTAGTTGCAGTATGAATAAAACACCTAAACACTACATTTACTTTCATATCTAAAATTACCCAAAAAAAAAAAAAAAAAAAGAAAGGGAGGGAAGGCTGAGTTCAAAGTGTAAAACATCTGGTGCCAGGTCTTGGCACTTCAATCAGCCAACCATTGGAATGTGTAGTTCACAATGCAGTGAAAACCATTCAAACTGCTCAATGGTTTCTGTTCAGAAATGTTGAAATGTACATTGTTTCACTGTGAAAAGTTATGACAAACACTTTGTGATTAACAGCCTACTATTTTGATTGATAACCAAATAAAACATTGTCTAGCTTATCCCATGATCTCCTACAGCCAACTGTGGTAAGGGGAGGACTGAAAGGGGTGGCTCAATTTTCTACATTCAATTTCTTCATTTCTCTACTCTATTGGTGAACTGAGCAATACAACTTGGTTTAACTTGGTTCTCTAAAGCCCTGATAACAATTTTCAGATCTTTAATCTTTGGT